ATGACAGTTTTAGTTAATGTCTGCGCGGCGAGCGTTGTCGCGATTCGATAGAGTTAATCAATGGTTACAATTTGCTCGCCAATGGCATTTAGTTGACGCAAATCATCAGGTACCTGTCGCTTACAAAGTTATTTATCCTTCAATTTTTCCTGTTTTCTAAAAATTATTTTCCGCAAGTTGCAAAGTCTTTTGTTAGCACTCCAACTTTTCTACATGTGCTGCTATCTCTTTCCTTTTTTCGTCATAAAGATAGTCATGAGATAGATTAATATTTTTTTGGGATCTAACTTCTCTACCTAGCTTTTTCAATTTGCGTCTGAAAAAGGTAAAGATCGATACTTTCTGCTGAACTTCCGTACACTTTTTGAGTGACGTACACCTTGGGCAAATTCTTATTCATGCTTTCATCTAAGTTTTCTCGCATGCTGAGATCTCTGACTGACTAGTACTTCACTACATCGAGAATTAGCAAAATGCAGTGTCATTTCAGGATGCTTTTTTGCTCGGAAAACATGTTGCAAAACATCTATCCGGACAGCACAAGCCCATATGGCATCCAGAGACTGATTGCGGAGATCATGTGGTAGTCGTAAACTGCCGACATGTAGCTATGCACGGCTTTGATTGGAAACATACTTTATTTCACTTTAATAAGGTATGGAAGAAGTTAATGATCAAGACCAGTCGATTATCCTTCAGGCGATATATCTTTATTTAAGGAATATCCAAGATCAAAAGCTGACATTCCTGCTTGGCAAATTCATGAATACGACCCATGTCGTATTGTATTTATGGCTGTTTATAAGGTACGAATTGAATATAGTATGCTGAAAAAACGCCACTTTATTTCCAATTCAGGCATTGGGGCATAATTTAATACGACGTACCCACATCCAACGACTACATCTTTTTCCTGGTACAGACATGCCAGATTTTGTTAAAGAAAATTTAGGAAGCCAGGTGGGTTAACGGTGACTATTAAAACGTTGTTGAATGTTACGACTTGCATACGAACCACTTTTCAGTTAGAGCAAGTTCAGCGAGTACCCAAGCGAAGTGACGAGTATACTG